TTTAGCACATAGCAAACCATCAACAAAATATCACCCCACCAAGAAGAAGCAGCTCCAGAATTGAGCATAATAACCACAACTAATTCTGTAAACGTCCTATTTTTCCGCTCAGCTTTACCATTCATTTCTGGTGAATATGGTGCCGTGGTTTCATGAATGATACCATGTGAGTTATAGAATTCCTTGAAGGGATTAGAGTCATACTCTGATCCTCTATCGCTCCTAAGTCTTTTTATCTTTCGATTGCACTGATTTTCGAATTCAACCACAAATACCTTGAACATGTCAAGGGCTTCACTTTTGTTTTTCATCAAATAAACAAAGCAATAATCAGAGCAATCATCTATGAAAGTGATAAAGTATCTCTTGCCAGACCTAGTTAACGTCCCATCTAGTTTACAAATATCAGAATGAATCAGATCTAAGGGTTCTGATTCTCTACTCACAGATTTATGGGGCGTTTTCGTTATTTTAGCTTGGCTACAGAAATCACATTTATCAAATTCATTCATTGAGAGTTTAGGGATATGTCCTAGCTTGCTTAAATTCTTCACAATTCGTGTGTTCACATGACAAAGACGAGCATGCCAAACATTCAAATCACACACCATGTAAACTGAAGAATTCATCTTATTAATTTCGACATTCAACTTGAACATCCCATTACATGCATATCCCTTTCCCACAAAACTCCCATTCTTAGTAAGGGTATACAAGTCTGCCCCAATAGATTGATTAAACCCAGCCTTATTAAGAAGATATCTCGAAACAAGATTCTTCCTTATCTCTGGAGTGTGCAACACATCCTTGAGCACCATCTTCTTCCCAGAGGTGAAGTTCAGCTCCAGTTCACCAGAACCAGCAACCATAGTGGTGTGAGTAGTCCCCAACAACACTTTCTTGTCAGCAGGTGTTTCTGTGTATGTTTTAAACATAGTACGATTGTTGCAAACATGCTTCGATGCACCTGTATCCAGCCACCATCCTTCTGAGTCACCGGTGAGGTTAACTTCAGCGATGATATCTGTGATCATGGCTATCAAATCCTAGGGGTGGCAGTCGGTCGGTTTCGGTTTAACCGAAAACCGAAAACCCGGTTATCGGTTAAACCGAGCCACCACTTATAGCCACCGACCGTAAGACTGGTCACGGTTAGCCGGCCAACCGACCGGTCGGTTTCGGTTTCTGGCTCGGTTAGCCGACCAACCGGAAAAATACCCTTTCTAGTTTCTAAAAAAAAAAAAAAACAACAAAAATTCAGCACCACTCATTCCTCACCCCCTCTCACTTCTCGATTCTTCTTCCTTTCCAGAGAATTGAAAAGAAAAAAAATTAAAAGCAACCTATCTCTCTCCCTACTCTCTCTCTCTCGATTCTCACCTTGCCGCCGCCCGCCAAGCCAAAATCGCCGCCGCCCGCTCAATCGCCGACATCCTCTCTCTCTCTCTCTTCCTCTTTCTTCTCTTCTTCTGCGGGGGCGGGAGCTTCCTCTTTGGTGGCTTCTTCTCCTTCCACCTTGACGGTTGCTCCGTCTCCTTTTCTTTCTCGGCCTCGGCGGCGGCGGGAGGGGCTTATTCCTTCTCCTTCTTCTTCTTCTCTTTGGTCTCCTTGACCGACTGCCGGCGATGGCCTCCGCCGCGGTGAGGATGTGGAGCGGGTGCAGGTGGCGGGTTTGGCGGAGGTGCTGGTGGCGGCGGAGGGTTAGGCGGCGGCGGGTTAGGCGGCGGCGGTGGTTTAGGTGGTGGGATTGGTAAGGGAGGTGGGCTTGGGGCGGTGCCAGCGGTGGGAAGGGCGGAGGACTTGGCGGCGGAGCAAGTGGCAGGTTTGGCGGAGGTGTTGTTGGCTATGGCGGTGGTGAGAAGTGAGAGTAGATCTGCTTCTTCTTCCTGTATTTGGTTTTTTTTTTTTTTTAAAGATTTGGGAATGGGGATGAATCTGGACATATTTTGGGGAAGGTGAGGTGGGTCTCGGTTGGCCCGGTTAGTCGGATAACCGCGGTTAATTACCGTCGGTTACTCGGTCAACCGACCCCTTCCTTTTCCCATCCGACCACCGACCGACAAGGCAACCGATCGGTTTTCGGTTAGCTGGTAACCGGCGGTTTTCGGTTAAAACCGGCGGTTACCGCTAACCGCAAACCGAAATGCCAGCCCTATCAAATCCTCTTCTTTCAAGTTAACCCTGGCCGCAGCGGCGGGGTTTTGCTTGTTCCTGCACTTTTTTGTCATATGACCCGGTTTTCCGCAGTTATAGCAGATAAACGATGGGTCATTCTTAGAGGTTTGGGCCATGACCCTTTGGTTACCTCGAGAGGCACCATTCTGGTGGGGGCGGACCTGCTGGTTCTTACTCTTAAACCCTTTCTGGTTAGGTTTAAGAGCTCTAGGGGTGGGTCGTTTAGCAGTGACGACCATCACCTCTTCTTTCATATCCTGCTTGCGGGATTCTTCCTCAATCCTTAAGCGAGTAATCAAACTTTCCAGTTAAAATTCTTTAGTTTTATGTCTAAGCATATTCTTAAAATCTTTCCACGAAGGGGGCAACTTATCAATAATGCAAGCAACTTGAAATTGATCGTCCAGAGGCATACCTTCAGAGACGATCTCATGAGCTATTTTCTGAAGTTCGTGGGACTGAACTTCGACAGACTTGTCATCCACCATCTGGTAGCGCAGGTAGCGGCTGACAGCATACTTCTTAGCTCCAGCCTCCTCCGTGTCGTACTTCTTTTGGAGCACATCCCAGATCATCATAGCGGTGCTCTTGCTGTCCACATAGTAGTCGTAGAGATCGTCTGCCAGGCCGTTGAGGATGTAGTTCTTGCATTGGAAGTCATGCTCCCTTTCCTTAGCAGAAGCAGCCCTCTCCTCATCGGTCGCTTCTTTCGGCAGCTCGACGGGCATGCTGGTGAGGCAGTGTGCCAACTTCTTGATCGTCAGGTAGAACTCCATCTTTTGTCTCCAGCGACAGAAGTTGACCCCAACGAAGCGAAATGGTCGATTGATATCGACAACACCAGATCCGGCCATGTTGTTCTGTTCAGTCGTCATAGCAGCAGCCGAACGTCTTAAAATTGTTAGGAATGGAACAACAACAAGAACGAGGTTACCGAATCTGGAGCTGAGTCGCGGACTAGTTCGCTCTCTTTAAGACGTTCGCGGCACTGCCCTCGATGCCCACGACAGACTATCAACCGGTCGTCTCCAGGATAAAACAGCTACTCTGTGTACTCGCGGTTTTGTGCGAAAACCGGAGCTCTCTGAACACACTCTATATTGTGTTTATGCTCGTTGTGGTGTGTTTAGAGGGACTGGGGAGGCGGCTATTTATAGGATCCGAAGCCATAGGAATATACCCTCTTGCTTGGGGAATAAGTCGGATTAATTAAGGAAGATAATTACTTTCTTAATTAAAACCGTCGGTTAGGATAAATCCTGCGGGGATTATCCTTCGAATATTCCTTTTCAATCGATTATCCCTAGAATATTCCTCAGAATAACCGATTAATAATTAATTATTAGATAATTAATTTCGTTTGGAATTTCTCCAAAAAATATGTATATAGTCTCAAGTGAACCAACCAACCGACTCGGTCGGACGGACGGCGCGCGCGTGTGTGGTGGTCTGTTAGGTCCTCCCTCTCCCACAAAAGTGGGTCACCCCAAGGGGCATGCCCTTAGGAGAGAGGCTCCTATCTTTATACACAATTCACCAAGTAAAACTACCAATGTGGTAGTTTTTCCACTTGAGACTCTATAGCTTTCAAAGCTATTCATACACATTTCCAACAGGTATTGTGTGGTATTTTTTTGTTCTGTAATTTGTTCACCCAGAAATTTGTAGATCCAATTGATCATGATGAACTCGTTCCTTCTGTGCAAATGTTTTAAAAAACGAATTAAAAACTAGGAAGATACCATATGGTATGCAGTTGGTACCGAGAGGAAAGAATTTTTTTCTAAAAAAATATTGAAAATGGATCTGGTTTTGTAGAGCACAACGAACTCGTTCCATCTGTGAAAAAAATTGAAATTCGTTAAAACGAAGAAGATATGAGTCTATTAAGAAAGTTAGGAAAATAAAAATGACATTTAATTCTCTATTCTTAGATCTGAATTTTTTAAATGAAGAGTGCAGATTTAGTTATTGATGAGTACATAACCTATGATGTACACCTATATTGAGCCAAAGTTATGATAAACCGGTTTTATGCGTTCGTAAAGCAAGCTATGGTGGTGCTTAGGGATGGCAATGGGTCGGGTTGGGTCGGGTTTTGCCAAACCCAAACCCATGGGTTTATCTTTGAAAAAAACCCGGGGTAAAACCCACTGGGTTTGAAAAACTCAAACCCAACCCAACTCATTGGGTATCCGCGGGTTCATGGGTACCCACGGGTTTTGTCGTAAAAAATTTACAATTACAAGTTCTTATCAAAATTAAAGTCAAATATCAATATCTCAATACAACTTATCCATATTAAAACACCATTCTAGAAAATTCAAGCAAATCACAAATTAACTATACAAATTGTTCAACACCAATCTAGAAAACTCAAGAAAATTGAAGCAAATCACAAATTATCCATAAATAACATGTTTAATTGAAAGCTTCTTCCTTTCAATTAAGTTTCTTTACTCTCCACTCCATAACATCAACTTCATTCTACACAATTAAAAAGAAAAAATTAGACATGTCTCCACAAACATAAATAAGATTAGTTGTTTAAAATATTAAATATACCGAAAAAATTAATTATATGAGTGGGCGGGTACCCACGGGCCGGGTTTACCTAAACCCAAACCCAACCCAACCCGGTGAATAGTGAACGGGTTTAAACCCAAACCCGACCCAAAACCCGTCAACACGGATTTTACCCCATTGACCGGGTTGGGTCGGGTGGGTACCCGTGAGTTCGGGTTTTGTTGCCATCCCTTGTGGTGCTTCATGACGTGTCACCAAGAATCCCTGAAAGGAATTACAAAAGGTACCTTTTCAAATAATAATATTTTTGTTAAAAAAAACCTTCTCTCCTGGAAGCGCGGTAACGAAACACCAGATCAAATAGTGTCCCCGTCATCAAGTCCGTACTCTGGACACGTGTTCCCCCTTCCCTTTTCCTCTTTTTCACTTCTTCTTCTTCCCTCTGCAACTGGGAAAGAAAATTTTCTAAAGATTCAAACAGAAACCAAACCAGTACAGACGGACAAACCAAACAGGGAGCAAGCAAATGTCCACCCGCGCACGTTAGCAGCTCGCACACGCGCCCTGGCTAACGAGTCACGGCGATCTCTCCTCCTCGTCCTGTCGCCAGCGCTCTCTCATTCTGTCCGCCGGAAAGTGACGTCAGCTATCTGTCTCCTCTCCCACCCCCACATTTTCCATTTCCCCCTTCTTTCTGCTTCGCCGTCACTCTCAAACATTCGCGCAAATCATCATTTCTCTCGCCTCTCTGCTTCGCTTTCCTCCTCCTTCATCCGAATCGCCTTCTCTTTACAGGTATGACGAGTCTGGTTCCTCGTTTCTCTTCTTCATATACGCATGTATGATTCTTCATTGCCAATCGGTTGTTGAATTCTCTTCCTCCATTGTTCACCTGTTGATTTGGACCCAGAGTCGGTGAGCTGAAGCTCGGTTTCCGCCATTGTATTTGCTTCCATCTTTTGTTTAATCAGTAGTGTCATAGTGTGTTGACGAAGCTTTTCATCGACTCGTCCGGATCTTATATCGAATCGCTGATTCGTTTAGTTTATCATCCGGATCTAAATTTAAGCAATCGTCGCCGGTGTGTTTTTGCAGTTTGCCGGAGAAGGCTTAGATCTTAGCGAGGTTTAGGGGGAAGAATTTTGAGTACCTTGCTCCGCCATGAGAGAGCGTCACCTGGAGAACTCCTACTATGCCTACAAGCGACTTTCCTCCAAGGATTTCCTGGATGACAGAGAAGACGCTCCTCCAGGTTTTCATTCTCTCTGTTCTTATTTTGCTGCTCTTTTTATATCTGTTTTTTTCAGTGATGTCCTGCCCCGTTTTACATCGTAATGCAATTGCAGATTTTCGGTGTGTGAAAAGGTATTACTGTAATTGATAACTAAGTGTTTTTCCTTAATCTTTCCCAAATTTCGCAATACTAATGAAGAGATTCCATGAAGTCAGAAACTAGATTAATTTAGTGGTTTAATAATAATTAGGCGTGTTGCTTCCTTTCTCCATTGACTATTTGTTAATGCAGCAGTGGTATATTCTGAATTGACACTAACTTAAACTGATTTCCCAATTTTTGGATTGCAGATCCGATTGAGATAAGCAAAGATATTGGAAACCCTCCATGGAGGCGATCTCTGGTGCATATACTGGTGGCCACTATTTCTTCGCTCTTGTTTGGTTACCATCTTGGGTAATTTTGCCTCTCTGGAACTTAATCCTGTATACACTTTGCAAGAAATGCCTGAGATGGATTAATGTTGTTAATTCTGGAATGTAATGCAGAGTAGTGAATGAGACGCTAGAAAGCATATCCCGAGACCTCGGGTTTATTGGGAATACGTTGGCGGAGGGTACTGTCAAAACTCTGGACAATGGACTTCCCATCTCCCAGTTCTCTTGTTTTTTTGTTGAAATTGTTCTAACTATTATACTTTTGCCTGAAAATGAAGGCCTTGTGGTGAGTACATGCTTAGGTGGTGCTTTTGTTGGATCGCTCTTCAGTGGTTGGGTTGCAGATGGCGTAGGCCGCCGCAGGGCGTTTCAGCTTTGTGCCTTGCCTATGATAGTTGGCGCTTCAGTGAGGTGAATGCTTGGTGGCTTAGATTCTTCTTTGTTGCGTGCCTTGTAGATGTAGTAGCTTTGATGAATCCTCAGCATATGTGGCCATCTCATAATGAATCTGAGGCTGTTACCTTAAGCAATACCCAAACATTTTTCTTGCAGTGCCACAACAAAAAACCTATGGGGCATGCTCCTCGGAAGGTTGCTCGTTGGAACTGGGATGGGTCTTGGCCCACCTGTAGCAGCTCTTTATGTTGCAGAGGTATAGCAAATGAAAACTCTTACCTATTGAAGGTTTGTGCGCACTTCAATTTACAATGACATATTATGATTTGTCATTGAGCAGGTTTCCCCAGCTTATGTAAGGGGTACCTATGGAAGCTTGACACAAATTGCAACATGTTTTGGACTGATGGGGTCCCTTTATATTGGAATGCCAGCCAAGACGACCATGGGTTGGTAAGGAAAGCTGAAACTTCAATGCAGTTTCAAACATTGTGGGATATGTGTGATGATATTATGACTCCATATATGTCAAAAAAAAATCCCCAGGTGGCGCATTTGCTTTTGGGTGTCTGCCATTCCTGCTGCATCACTTGCTATTCTTATGGAGTTTTGTGCAGAGAGTCCTTACTGGCTTTTAAAGGTCACCTGCTTATGTTCTCTATATTCAATTTTATTCCAAATATTAGCATATTCTGTGTATCTCTTGATAACAGTTGTAGAAATTGGACGTAAAAAACATAAGTATAGTTAGTGCTTCAGATATAGAGTGTATATAACAGGAGAAGGAAGTCCATGCCTATTAAATTATGGGTTATGGGAGGTGTAACCCTATGTTGTAAGCATTGTTCGTCTAATTCTTTATATTCATACGTTATCTTCTTAACATACTTCAGAGCGGACGAAGTGCTGAAGCTGAAGTTGAGTTCGAGAGACTTTTAGGAGCATTGCATGTCAAATCTGCAATGGCAGATTTGTCAAAGTCAGACGGGAGAGATGAAGTAGAGAAAGTCAAGTTCACAGAGTTGCTTTATGGCCGTCATTTTAAAGGTCCCCAAATTACCTACTTCTTACCATAATGTTAGGGCTTCAGTTTGCTTCCAAATAATTACGCCTGACTCCCTCGATTTGCAGTGGTTTTCATTGGGTCTACCCTTTTTGCCTTACAACAGCTATCAGGGATAAATGCCGTGTTTTATTTCTCATCAACCGTCTTTAAAAGTGCTGGTGTACCGTCAGACTTTGCAAACACGTGTGTAGGGCTCTGCAACTTGTTTGGTAAACAAAGCATTTGTACCCTACATTTCTCTTTGTTTTCCTCTAGGTTGACTCTTTTTTTTTTTAACTTCAATCCTTCACATTTTCCAGGCTCCGTAGTTGCCATGATTTTGATGGATAGACTGGGGAGAAGGGTGCTTCTCATGGGCAGTTTCTTTGGTATGGTAAGTACGGAAAATTGCTTTTGACTTGAAAACTTGTTGCATTGTTTCAATAGAGGAAATTATGTTTGTTTGCTGCCCAAAAAGTGTTAGCAACACATGACCTAAACTATGGGGGATACAGCTAATCTGCTATCCCTAAAGATCTTTGTTATATGAAATGAGCCTCGTTGCTAATTTTTTAGTTTTTCTCGTAGTGTGTTATAGCAGTAGAATGTGTGTCAGCTATGTTTGATATAGTATATTACTGTACTTCTTCACAGGCAGTATCGATGTGCATCCAAGCTGTAGGAGCTAGTTCGCTTGTCTCAAGCTCCCAGTCAGTGTATCTTTCTGTTGGAGGCATCTTGTTGTAAGTTATCTCTCTTCTCTTGTCTTGGTTTTCAAAAGAAGTTGCTGTATGTTTAATCTACCTGCTGATGGTCCTTCATGCTACACTGTCAGATCTTTTGTACTGAATAATCATAGGCAGTAGAGACAGTTCACCTACTTTACTTTCCATGTTGAATGATATCCTGTCAGATTGAAAAACACACAGTGCAGTGAACAACTGTGAAAGAGGGTTTGATGAGGCAATGCTTTTAAGGGGTGTGATTCTGGTTTCTTGCTGCATCTCTCTCACTGCATCTGAAACTGATTCTTCTGCAGGGTTGTCTTAACATTTGCTCTTGGTGCTGGTCCAGTTCCTGGTCTCCTGTTATCAGAAATATTGCCGAGTCGGATTAGAGCCAAGGCAATGGCAGTTTGTATGGCCGTCCATTGGGTAATTGCTTTGTGCTGGTATTCTCTTCTTTGATGCAATTGGTAGGTGTAAATGGATCCACTGCTTACTGTTTGGTGTGTACACAGGTTGTCAATTTTTTTGTTGGGCTCTTGTTTTTGCGGTTACTGGAGCAAATTGGTCCGCTCGTATTGTATACAGTCTTCTCCAGTTTTTGTATGCTTGGTGTCATCTTTGTAAAAAAGAATGTCCTGGAAACCAAAGGCAAATCACTGCAAGAGATTGAGATTGCACTTATACCCCAAGTATGAAGGTTAGTCATTTTGTTACTCCCAGTTCTGAATTGCTTTGGTTTATTTGTCTGAAGATTAAACAGTAAATACTGACCGCTATGAGCCTATGACTATGACGTTGTCCAATTATTGTGGATGCCTTTGAAATACAATATTGTTAGAGGTGGCAATTAGGATCCAAATCCATGAATTCAATCCAATCCATCCACCAAATTATCTACCTAATCCAATCCATTTAAATCCAATCCATTTGATCCAAATTCAATTGGATTGGTGGATTCATGGATCAATCCATGGATCCAAATGGCAACTTACTATTTGGTATCTATATTTTTATATTTTATATTTTGGTACCTAAAATTTTTCATTATGACATTTTAGTACCAAAACTTTTCAAATTTTACATTTTGGTCCAAGTCTTTGATGTTATTTGGATTCATGGATCAATCCACCAATCCATTTGATCCAATCCATGAATTCACCAATCCATTTGATCCATGGATCCACCAATTCAATCCACGAATCGGATCCAATTGTCACTGGTGCATTTGACAATCTCTCTTTGTTTCTGTAAAAAAAAAAAATTTGTGTAAGTCGGAATTCCCAAGTTAGCTGCTTACGTAGTCCTACGCACTGCTAGTAAGCCATTCTTCTCTTTATTGCCACAGGTATTGTAAGTTATGGTTCCACCTAGCACATCTCAACCAGCACCGTTTTTCGTCTGTAGTCGGAGGTAGCTTTTCTGCTTTAATCTGTCCAAGTTTTCCCTCCTGCAATAGGGCTTTCAGCTATCCCAAGTTATTAGTAGTTAATAATTTTTTAAACCTGTTCTAGCCGCATTTGGTAATATGCAAACCTATTGAATTCACAACCAAGCATGACCGCATGAGCCATCCACAGCAGTTCCTATCTGCCAATGATCGGTCGTTCGTTCATTCGGTTGTGAATTGTGTACCAAGTAACTGACTAGGTTCATGGCAACATTTTTGTTTGAGATGCAGGGAGAAGACAACTGATAGTAGAGAGTTGCAGATACAGGATTGTACTGGAGTTTAGCGTCAATGGCTTCCCTAGAGCTTGATGCTGCCTTCTGCATTATAGCCCTGGGTTTTGATACACATATGGCTGGAGAACCTGAGATATTCTTAATCTGGAGAGACGGGAATGTATATTTATTTACAGATCAATTTTCCTTTTTTCCCATCTAAGGTTGTTCAAATTGCTGTTCAACTGTGGCATTTGTGTAAGCACAGTAATTTTTTTGTTCTATTTTATACGTGGGAAAAGGAGACAGTAGACAGTGGCTTCCCTTCTGCCGGACAAACTGATTAGCATCGTTTCAGGGGAGATATTATTTTGCAGTAATAATTAGAAGTTTGGTACGGAGACTTTGCTAAACTCCTGCTATCATCAATCAACCCAGGAGAGTAGGGAAGGCAACGGGTTGGGTTTTGCCAAACTCAAATCAATGGATTTATCCGTGAAAAAAACTCGGGGTAAAATCTATTGTGTTTGAAAACTCAAACCTAACCCAACCCGCTGGGTATCCGTGGGTTCATGGTACCCACGGGTTTTTGTGGTAAAAAATTTACAATAACATGTTCCTATCAAAATTAAAATCAAATATCAATCTCTCAATACAAATTATCCATATATAAAACACCATTCTAGAAAATTCAAGCAAATCACAAATTAACTATACAAATTGTTCAACACCAATCTGGAAAACTCAAGAAAATTGAAGCAAATCACAAATTATCCATAAATAACATGATTAATTGAAAGCTTCTTCCTTTTAATTAAGTTTGTTCACTCTCCACTCGATAACATCAACTTCATTCTACACAATTAGAAAGAAAAATTAGAAATGTCTCCATAACATAAATAAGATTAGTTGTTTAGAATATTATATATACCGAGAAAATTAATTATATGGGTGTGGGCGGGTACCCATGGGTCGGGTTTACCTAAACCCAAATCCAATCCAAACCGGTGAATAGTGAACGGGTTAAACCCAAACCCGACTCAAAACCCTTCAACACGGATTTTACCCGCGTTGACCGGATTGGATCGAGTGAGTACCCATGGGTTCGAGTTTTGTTGCTATCCCTACGGGAGAGACTATATGGCAACTGCCACATAAGCTATAGAAAAGCAAAGAGCAATTTCCGGAAGGGCATTTACTCCAAAATGCATCATGTACGTTGGGCCAGTAAATTGGGTTTGGTGAAAATAAATAACCACTTACGGATTGGTGAAGCTAAAATGCAACATATATAGTTGGGCTTATGGGATAAAATGCGGTAAAGTTATAAAGTATTGGTGCTTTAATGTATAATTTAAAGTTGTATCATAATGTTAAATGTATGAGTTTAGGTTGTATCATAAAGGAATTAGTACTATTATGTTATGGTACAACTTACAACTTGAAGTTGTACCATCACATAAAGATACACGTTCAAGTTGTACCATAAAAAAAAATGTATAAAAAGTATAGGTACAATATGAAGTTATACCATAAAGGCAAAACCTTATAGCACCAATGCTATATACCATTGTAAAATTTCTCTAATATAAAATGCACCCCTCATCACTCTTAGACCAACTCCAATGCAAGGCCCCAAATTTGGGGATTGCCCCCATTTTTTACAATTTGGCTCCAATGCTACCAACCTCAAATTTGGGAATCTCCATTTTATCCATTTTTACATTTACTTAAAAATGTACTTATCAAAGCCTTAATATAATTCATTAATATTAATTTTTGTATAGTTCGTCATCATTTTTAAATACAAATTTTTCGATAGAATTTTGTTAAATTTCGAGAACTAATTTTTTTGGCGAAAAATTATGGACATAATTTGGGTTTACACACAACACTTGAAAATGATTGATCTAATTAAACCCCTAACTAATACCCTAATTAAACTCCAATTAACCCCTAAAATCTTAAAAAGTAAAAGAAATGCCACGTGGCGGGCTTTGGGGAGTCTCTATATTTGGGGGAACCCCCATTTCCACCCCCAAATTTGGGGATCCTTTTGCAGATCTTCCCCAAATATAGGGACTCCTCCATTTTTAGAGACTCCATTGGAGCTAACTTTTCCCCAAATATAGAGACTCCTCCATTTATAGAGGCTCCATTGGAGTTAGTTAGACTGAGAGAGAGAGGGCCGGAGAGAGAGAGGGAGATGGGGGACATAAGGAAGAAGGGGTGTTTTTGGGTGATGGTGTGGGGTTTTTTAAAGGTTGTTGCATAAATAATTATTAACATAATGTACGGTGGTTCGATATTTGCATGTGGTGATAGGATATTATTTTGTTATGCGAGGATATTATAATGCGATGTGTGAATATTTGTCTGTGTAGTCGGATATTAGTATGCGACGGTTAGATTTTTGTTTATGTGTGATGTATATTAGTCTGTGATGGTGAGAATAATAATTTTGGTATGATCATATATTAGTCTGAGAATTGGAGTATAAATCTATAGATTCTAGACAATCCAAAGATTTTAGGCAAAATACACTTGTGTAGCCAAAACTTTTGCGTTTGTGCCAATAATAGCCAAATTTGAAGAAATACCACTTATAGCCAGATTTTAAAGTTGTTGTATGACAAATCTTGCCATTTCTGTTAGATACTTTAACGGTGTTAGTAACACCGTCAACTTTTTTGACAGTTTGCTGACTAGGCTCCAACTCTGTGCACACGTCAGCGCTAGGGGTGGCAGTCGGTCGGTTTCGGTTTAACCGAAAACCGAAAAACCCGGTTATCGGTTAAACCGAGCCACCACTTATAGCTGCCGACCACCGACCGAAAAGAGGTCACGGTTAGCCGGCCAACCGACCGGTCAGTTCCGGTTTTAGGCTCGGTTAGCCGGCCAACCGAAAAAATACAATTCCCAAAAAAAAAAAAATTAGATAAAACAGAAAATTTCCCCACCACTCCTTCCTTATCTCCTCCTCCTCTCTCTTTCCTTCCTCCACATCAGACCTCTTCTCTCTCCTTCCTTCCTTCTTCTCTCACCTTCTTTCTCCATGGAAAGAGATCTGCAGGGGCGGCGACGGGCGGCGAGGCACGGCGACGGGCGGCGGCGAGGCGCGGCGCCGGGAAGGAGGAGGCGAATCAGAGGGTGCGGTGCCTGTGCCGGCTGCTGGAACAGTCCCTCCTCTTCTGGTTCTCGTACCGGCTGCTCGTCGCCGCCGCCGCGGTGCCTGTGCCGCTGCTGGAAGGAGGCGGTGTGGTCATCATCACAAGCTGGCTGCCGGCGTGCATATCCATGGCTAAAAATTGAATTGGTCAGGGCTTTTTTTTTGTGGTGGGGAAGAGGGACAGTGCTATTTTTGTTGCTTCTTCTGGTGATTGCTTGGCTTTTTTTTAAGGGTAGAAGAAGGACAGCAGCAGGGAGGGATTGATTAATAAGGCTGGATAGCAAAGAGAGGCCTTTTGATTTAAAGATGGAAGCGGCAGAGAGAAGCAAAAGTGAGAATTTCTTGCATGGTAAAATGGGGTAAAGAGAAAAAAAAATTAAAGATGGATGATGGGATTTGTGAGGGAAGAGACCAGACGAGTGATGAATGATGGATGATGGATGATGGGTGTACTGGGAAGTGGGTGTACTGGGAAGATGGATGATGGGATCAGTGATGAAGAGACCAGACGAGGTGTGAGAGAGAGAGAGAGATATGGGGAGGTGAAGGTTGACTGCGAGGGAGGAAGGGGAAGGGGTTGGGGAGCTAGGGTTAGTGGGAATTAGGACTGGGCGGCATCGTTTTGGGGGGGGGGGGGTTTCGGTTAGCCGGTTAACCGTCGGTTTTCGACCCCGGTTAGTCGGCTAACCGAACCCCTACCCTTCCCCACCGCCAACCGACCGATGTCATTGGGGTCGGTTTTTCGGCTAGCCGAAAACCGGTCGGTTCGGTTGAAACCGACCGGTTAGCCGCTAACCGGAAAACCGTCCGCCAGCCCTAGTCAGCGCCAACTATACTTGAAGTGACACGTCATAATTTAAATTTATTTAATAATTACACATCATAAATTAATAAAAAAAATACTAAAACAAATCCACCTCCTACGCCATCGTCCCTTTCGTCTTCTCCTCTTCCTGAACCTCTACCGGTGATAGTTCCCGACATCGGCTTCTCTTAATCGACTTCTCGGTTGAAAGAGGGGAAATTCAGCCACCCTTGTATTCTTTCCTCAACGGTGCCTCTCCTTCCAGAACCCAAATCCAACTTGATTTCCAGCTACCTTCTTCCCAAAAACTCAGAACCCTTCTTGCTTTGTGTTCGTTGATGGAGATAAACTCCACAAATCTCGTCAAACTTCTTCCCCTCTAAGTACCTTCTTCAAACAGTCCATGATCTGTCCTTCTCTATCGTCGATGTCGCTGCCGCTCTCCGCAACCTCATTCTCTCCCGCCTCCTCTCCTATCCTCGCTCTCGAACTCCCCATCCCCACCACTGATACGGCCGCAACATCGCCACCTCCAACGACCAATTCAGCCCACTTCATACAACATAGAAACCCTCCAATTTCAAATCCGACATTCAATCAAGCAGGAAAGCAAAAATTGAAAAAGCTCCAATTTTGACGCAGATCCGATACGGGGTAGCGGCGGCCGGAGGTCTGCGACGGTCTCAATCCTTACATTGATGATGCGGCAAGGCAGAAGGTTTTGGGGGATTTCTAAGTAAACGAACAAATCAGTGGGAAGGGGTTTCTTTTGTGTAGGGGAAAGATGGGAGATGAAAGGTTGCTGGGATTTGAGTTGCCAGTGATGGAAGATGGGGTGCGGAGGGACTGGTGACAGGAGGGAGGAGGGATGGCGGTGGGGAGGAAGGAGGGCTGGCGAGAGCTTGTCGCCAGAAGAAGATGATGGGCTCAAGTGCCCTGAGGCTGTGGATTTCTAAAGGAGAAGATCGATATGAACTAGATCCCTCATTGTCAAGGTCATTTCAGATCAGGCGGCTGGAGCTCGCTGAGCGATTGGATCTACCGGTTCTCGTCGATGATGACGCGGAGCTGCGGTGCATGGTGAGGAGAGGGCGGCGACAGGCTGCTGGTCGCCGAGTTAATGGCGTCTGCGGTTCAAGATCTGAGAAACTGGGTTTTGGTATTCTTGGTAGAAAAATGGGAAAGGGGATGCGATTACAAGCGAGAATGGGTTGGTGGAATTTAACAGGGGAGTCGAAGTGAAGAAGAGGAAGAGATTTCTTAGATCTGGTAAATTTTTTGGGGGGAGAGATGATAGATGGAAGGTTGCTGGGATGTGAGCCGCCGGGAAGGAGGAGGGATGGCGGTGGGAGGGTGGCGGTGACTGGAGGAAGGAGGGATGGTGGTGGGGGAAGGAGGACTGCTACCTGCTAGGCTTTTTTAATTTTTATCTTATTAATTTTTTTAAATGGTTTTACATTAATTATTTTCCTTTTTATTTTTTTTAAATTTTTTATTAATCTACGTGGCAGTGTTGTTACGCAAAGTCAGCATTTTCGTTAGTCCAGTCAGCCTGTTAGTTAACACCGTTAAAGTATTGGATGAAATTGGTTATAAGTGGTATTTCGCCAAATTTGGCTATTATTGGCACAACCGTGAAAGTTTTGGCTACACAAGTGTATTTTGCCAAGATTTTAACTCTTTGGATTGTTTAAAAAAGATTTGAAATTTTTTATTGTTTGGTAACTACGATTGTTAACATCCAGTGAATAAAGAAATTCTATTCTTTTTATTACATGACATGTTTATCCTTAACCAAAATAATTAAATTGGCTCGAAAAATATTTAAAATTTATCAATAAGGGTGATTAGTGGAATAAATGAAAAATATTTCTCCGATTTCATATGCAGATGATGCCTGCAATCATGTATAGTGGATCCTTGCCGAGGTTTGGGCTGGGAAATCTGACAAAGAAATCTTCAAGAAGCTTGAGTATGAATATGGAGAGACAGTTCTCTACGCTCCAAAGTTTGATTGGCAGACTGCAAGAATATGGTTGTCACCGATGTGTTTCCACAGCTTGTGCCTGTTCGCACTGAACTCACTCGTCAATTGAAGTTCTTTAATTTTGAGGCGTTAGGGTTTTGGATTGCAGCTTCTTATTGCAGGTGCTCCTGGAGGGATATGGGCTTACATTAACACCAAAAGAGAAGGAGACGATGTTGGAGTACCCAATGTCAAGAGCAAACAGTTTTTTGCCTCTGCACCTCTGTATTAGTTCTCTAGCTTTGTGTCAATGTTGAAATGCATTGACTGAGGTTAGTCAATACTTCCATGGTTTGAAAGGTCTCCCCTTTGTACTACATTTGAATTTAATGACAGCATCTAGATTATCAATAAAAAAACATTTTTCTATTGAATTTAATGGCATCATCTAGATTATCCTAAAATAATATTTTTGTGTTGATATTCTAGCTAGTCAACCAAGGCAAACATAACTGAGTTGAACTTTCCATCTTCCTCTGGTTTGGTGGTTCTTTTAATCAAATACGCTTGCTGGACAAGCATGTGAGAATTGTTTGATGAAGAACGATATGTGGCATTGCTGTTGAAATGGTTGGTTATACGAAATACATCGAAGTTGCAGGCTAAGCCTCGATGATCCGGGATTGGTTGATGGTCTCTACAGGAGTTCAACATCGACTGATTTCGATGAAAGTGGTCGTCCAATGTCAACTATGCAAAGCTATTTTCCTTTTTCAATCATGTGCTTAGAATTGTTCCTAGCATTTGACGTTATGTGCTTGTTGTTTCTGTTTCATTGACTACTGCAGGTTTCAGAGTACTTGAACTTCAACTTTATATGAATAATAATAAAACAGACGCGGACCTAATTTTTCCATCTTAGATTTCAAACATATTTTAATGCTTCCCTATCTGTTCATTCCCTTAAAGGTGTTTGACAAATACAAAGTGATTTATACTTGAGAAAGTAATTAGGTTATAAACCCATAACATTTCTCATATAAACCAGTTGTGATAATGGAAACGACTGTAATTGGGATCAGTGAAGGTTATGTTTCTGTGGTAACTGATCAGATTAAAAGTCTTCTATTCCGTAAGCTTGTTAGAAAGGTGCAGCAACCTGATCATGCTTCAGAAGCTGTAACCAATGTGAATCAGGACCTTTCAGCTCCATTGGGTTCAAACAGCCATTTGAACAGGCCTGAAACTTGGGAGGTTGACGGGACAATGCAGCAATCAGATCAGCAAGCAGCCATTAATCGTGTTCAGAGCCCAGCAAACATTCAAGACAAGATTCATCAAGATCCTCCAGCTACGGTTGTCATCGAAGAGCTGAGGACTGGACAGCCTTGGACTTCTGGATTGTACGAGTGGCGGACAGATCAGACAAATGGTAATGATCCCCATCACATCTCGTGGTCTTATTGAACAGTGCATCATCATCAATCTTGAACTTCTGAACATTCCCTTCAGATCCCATATAATTCTCTCCTTATTTTTTTTTTACCCTTGACAGCTATTCTAACTGCAATTTGTCCATGTGTTACATTCGGCCAAATAGCAGAAGTAGTCGATGAAGGAAGGTCATGTAAGTTCTTTTTAAAAATGAAGGCTTGAGCTGAAAACAGCCCCGTTTCTAATCATATTTGTAACCATCGATTCTTCTGCAGCTTGTTGCTCAATGTGTTGCATTTGCTTCTTGGCGATGCTCGCCTCGTATTCCCAGTGGCTCGTGGCAACAGAGTACAGAACCAAACTGAGGAAGAAGTATGTTCTGGTAGAAGATCCGTACACAGATGTGGCTTCTCATGTCTTCTGCCCATTGTGTTCACTCTGTCAGGAATATCGAGAGCTTAAGAGCCGCGGGCTCGATCCTTCTCTAGGTAAACGCTTTATCATTCATTCCATTGATGGAACTGCGAAAACATTGTCCGTGTTTAGAGATGATATAAACATGTGATGATTCTGAAGGACTTCCTGCCTTGGAACTTTCTGGTTTAGGTTGGAAAGGGATTGTAGCTCAGCAGCAACAGAAGAGAAAACAGAGCAATGAAGATCGATTCCGGAGAAGACTGGAGGAGGAGGAGGAAGAAGATGATCATGGAGAAACCAGTACTGTTCCTCCTCCAGAACAAGTCATGAACCAGTGATGAATGTAATTCCTTTTTCTTCCAACTCGCCTTGTTTGTTTGTATCCTATTCATGTCCCACAAGTGGCTGTCATGTATTGGCCGGGCGCCATTTTTAGTTAAAGAGTTGCGCTTCAAATTTGCCACCAAATCCAATGGGGGATGCCGTGTCCAACTTAAGCTCAATGTCAGAGGATTGTACAAAATTCTTCCTTGGCCAAAGAGTGCATAGTGGATGGTCTTCTGTTCATAGTTCCAGCACAAGGAAAGATGTCCATGGCCGTTAGCCATTCTTTGTATCCGTATCAAAATAGGAGCATGGCTGAATTGAAATGGTTGGAGTAGGAGCTGAGGGAATTCAGTAGCACTAGCCCGTGGTCCGTGGATTCTTTAAATGTTGCATTGGCCTTCTTATCCTAGATGATCATCAGCCTTCGTTCTTATGGTTCCCTTTTATTCAAGTGGTTTGATACATATTGCTGGTGTTTACTTTAGGGGTCATGTCCTGTGAAAGCAATCCTCCACTCTACTGCATTTCTGTCATCAGACCCAACAAAGATGATCTTTGACTAGTTAAAACAACAAATTTCCCAGATTGGCGCTAAGACGTATGGCCAAACTGTGATCTGGAATCGAGTTGTTATGCTGGAGCGGTTAATGGGAGTCCCTCTAAATGTGAGTTCTGAGGTGAAAGAAGAAGCAGCAATTAAACTGGCTGTTGCTTGGAGAGGGAATTTTAGCTTTCTTCTTGTTTTTGGCTGGATTTGGAGTTGGCTATCATTTTAAAGCGGAGGATACGTTGGGACTTGTTGGCGTGATTTCTCACCATGAAAGGGCTCATGAGTTATGATGTTCCCTTGGACTTGCATAATGGATACACAGAATCTGCAAATTGAGCAGGTTTGTTACGTTCAAGATTACATCCTATCCCCAAAAGTAACTGACACTGACAGTAAAGTGATAATACTAAGGAAGAAAATATAATTTCCTCTACTACAATCATAGAATTCAAAAAGCAACCAACATTATCAAGCAAACGAATAGGTTAATTCACATCAAGACAACAGTGAAAACTAATTACAAAATGGTTAATAACTGATTTTGGCCCAAACTATGATCATATAATCAACTTTGGTCTGTGGTTACATAAATTAATATCTTGGTTTCAAATATGCAGCATATAGCTCCAATCGGCCCAACACATGGTTTGACCGTTCACTTTCAGAAATTAACATCTTGGCTTCAACTATGCAGCATATAGCTTCAATTGGTCCGACAGTCAGTCTAAAATTCATTAAAAATTCAAATTCACATTATTTTTCTAATTTCTATTAATTATATTATTTTCAAATTAACCAAAAAATAAAATTAAAAAAATAAAAATTTTGATAATTTTTGGTTAATTTATAAAATTTATCATTTTCAATTTACCCAAAATCCTCATTTTGTTCGCACAAGATCCTCATGGAGGAGGGCGCCAAGCCGGTCCACCAACCTCAACGGCGTGTGAATCCTAACCTAGAGGAAGTGGTGAAAGCCAAGGTGATTAAACTATTGGACGATGTGATCATCTACCCCATTTCCGATAGTCAGTGGGTAAGCCTGACTCAGTTGGTTCCCAAGAAAGGAGGGATGACAATGGTGGTAAATGAGAAGAAGGAGCTCATACCCACAAGGACGGTGACTGGATGGAGGGTGTGCATTGACTATCGTCGATTGACCGATGCCACTTCTAAAGATCATTTCCCTTTGCCTTTCATTAAATCTAATTCTGGAGAGGCTCGCGGGTCACGACTACTATTGCTTTCTAGATGGTATGTCAAGATACTTCTAGATACCGATTGCCCTGGAAGATCCAGTCAAGACGACATTCACTTGCCCGTTCGGAACATTCGTTTATAGACGCATTTCGTTTGGATTGTGTAATGGCCCGACTACATTTCAGATATGCATGGTGGCTATCTTCGACAAGCTTGTGGGGGAGATAATGGAGGTGTTCATGGACGACTTCTCAGTATTCGGGGATTCATGTGCTCACTGCTTGGCCAACTTGGAGAAGGTTCTTGCGCGGTCGCAGTGTGAAGAGACCAATTTAGCTCTGAGTTGGGAGAAGTCACATTTTATGGTGCGAGAGACCATTGTATTGGGGCATAAGATTTCAAAGATAGGCATTGAGGTGCACTGTGCCAAGGTCGAGACCATAAGCAAGCTTCTCCCTCCGACATCAGTTAAAGGCATTTGGAGCTTCCTTGGGCATGTGGGATTCTATCGCTGATTTATAGAAAACTACTCAAAGATCGTGCTACCCCAAACGAAGCTTCTAGAGAAGGATGCACCTTTACTCTTCACAAAGGAGTGTTTTGAAGCTTTCAATATCCTCAAGGCTAGGCTGACAAATGCTCCGATCATGGTTTCTCCGTATTGACCCTCCCTTTTGAGCTTATGTGTGATGCTAGTGATTACGCAGTGGGAGCGGTGTTGGGTCAAAGGCGTGGTAGACATTTCCAACCCATATGCTACGCCTCAAAAACATTGAACGAGGCTCAAGAGAACTACACAACTACTGAAAAGGAATTGTTTGAAGTCATTATTTCCTTCGACAAGTTCTGGTCCAATCTTGTGCTGCCGAAGGTTATTGTATACACCGATCATTTCGCCATCTGTCTCTTGATGAGCAAGACTGATGCCAAACCCCACTTGATCAGATGGATCATGCTTCTCCGGGAATTCGATGTGGAGATCAAAGACAAGATAGGAGCTGAGAATCTTGCGGAATACCACCTTTCCTGCCTTGAAGGTCACCGGGGAGCACTTTCTAAGGCGAGATTAATGACACTTTCCCCGATGAGAGGTTATTCGTGCTTTCCGTGGTTGAGAGTGCCACCCCGTGTTTCCCCAACTTCGCCAATTATTTGGTCGGAAGGCAACTACCAAAGGGGATGACTACAAATGAAAAAAGGAAGTTTTTGTCCGACCTCCGATACTATTTTTGGGACGATCCTCGCCTTTTTCGGATTTGGGCCAATGGGATCATTCAAAGGTGTGTACCGGAAAATGAAATGATGGTCATGCTAAGCCAATGTCACGACGGGCCAACTGAATGTGCGTGTGTTTGTGTTTTGTTTTGTCTTCTCTTTAAAGCTCAAACCTCCTACCCCAGGAAATTGCCCAACTTTCATTAACCAAACCATGCGGTAACATCTTTCTACCCCCTATTTTTTGCCATTGAGGGCAATGTCGAGATTAAGTGTGTGTGTGTGGGGGGGGGGGTAGTTTATTATTATGCTTGTGTGTGATGTATGCCCAAATTTGAAAATTTTGAGGGCTCCAAGCAATGCGTGATCGAAATGGCCGGTGGGTGGGTGAATCTCTTGTTTATTTGGAATTGACCTTGAATTGTTACATGTAATCGAGTGCATCCTATTATGATGACTGAGAGTTGCATTAGGTGTGTGCAAAAGCTTAGTTCTCATGTGTGTTTAATTGAATGGATGTCTTGACTTGGTTAGTACTCTTTGATCACAATTTCCTTGCAGAGAAGTTTGTGAAATTGGAATAGATGATTGCGTGGCTAGGCAGCCATGTGAGATTCATGCCGATCGTCTTTTTCATATGTGATAGATCCCTCTCACCATGGTGTGTAACATTCACCGTTGTCACTAGTGAGTATGATGGAGGCATCGAATTAGTCCACGCCCAAAAGTTTACTATCCTGAAGCATTTTATCCCTTAGTCAACCCCTTTGAGCCGTGTGACTTTAGGGGTCGTTCTAATGTTAGGATCTTGGTGCTTGTTGAGCTTAATGATGGTTGAAAGAACAACCCTCATCCTTTCTTCGTGTCAAAGTGTGAGTCATCCTTGTGTCTCGGAGTCCTCGCTTTTGAGCTCCATTGAGGTTCTACATTGGTGGTTTTGCACGTTTCTTGATAGGAATGGAAAGGTAGTGTTGGAGGAAATTTTGTTATAGAGAGTATTGTTTGTTAAAGGATAAGTGGCATGTGTTTTACTCTCTAGTACCCACTCGGGAAAAGAAAGGAAGAGAAAAAGAAACGAAAAAGAGGTAATAAAAGGGGTAAATAAAGGTAGAGAGTTGCAATGAGAAAATGATGTGTATGCTCTAGAAAAGGTTTCTTGGCACTCGAGCCATTGAAACACCTAAATTGTTTGTTGACCTCCTTCATTACTAGGATTGAATTGTGGATAGCAAGATAGGCCGAAGAAGTGTGCTTGAATGTAGTTCGTGATTGGTAGTGGTTTGAAAGAAGGGAAGTGTGGCTTTTGGCCGATGCTAGTGGTCGTTGATTGTAGGAAGGTTTCTTAGTCGAAATCATAGAACCTTTGGTTTTAGGTTGAAGATGTAGAACCTCATGCTATGTTTGCCACCACTCAAAATTTTGCACAGAATGAACGAGTTAATCATTATGTATTGGACATACAAATTTCTGGGTGAACAAAATACAGGACCAAAAAATATCACCCCAATACCACCCTGGTATGGGGTGGTATCTTGTGGTACACAAGGTTGAAAGTCGTAAATGACAGTTAGTATATATACCTACTATCATGTATTCAATCATCATACAGTCTTGGTATGTTCATACCACCATGGTTAGCATTTTCATACCATATGATATGTTCTTATTTAATACGAGTGAGAAAAAAAATTCGAGTTAAAACGAGTGAGAAATTGTCCGTTAAAGATTAAGGGGGGGGGGGGGAATTAAAGACTTTCCACGAAAGAGAAGGGGCGTTGATGTGACAGATGGTGATTGGATTATGCAAGCTTACTCACTCTAAGGTTATGCATACTAACTGCTCCCCTATGTATGACTTTTGGCTACAACCTTTATAAATGTCAACTAGTTTTCATTGCCCGCGCTCCACGACGGGACTTGAAGCTAATTGTAAAATATAAATGTTGCATTCCCATAACGTGTTTATGATGGATGATATTATATGATTGTGATTACACACACTGCACTTTTGTTTTGTTTATCTATTTTTACAAACGTCAAGTCTAGGCGGTAACACACACAAAAAGTTTGCTCTTGCTTCAAGTTTTGAATGCAAAGTTCTATTTAGTTCCCTCGATTATGACCTTATAGAATGAAGGAAAACGTTGAAAATTTGATGTTGTTAGGGTTGGACTGTTTTCAAAATTTCAAAGCAAAATTGATCTACAAACACCTGCATAAGGTAACATAACAGAACACCGCTCCAAATGACTGCATAAGGTAACATTAATATGATTTGACATGAAATTTCTTGTTGAAATAGACAGCAACCATGGACTGGTTACTCCTCTTTTCTCGCTTACATCCGAAACAGTTGATCAATAATTGAAAGATTAAAAGTTCA